CACCCTCCAGCAGGAGCTGCAGCCCTGAAAAAGGGGGGGGGGGGGGGGGAATGGAGTCTGCCTTCCTCCAATCAAAGCTGCTGCTCTCTGCCTTCATCACCTGCTCAGCCAATCAGCAGAGGAGAAATGACCTCTGGGTGGATGAGAGCCAGAGGCGCTGCTGATGAAGACGATGATGAAGAGAGGAGGAAGATCAGCTGGATCTGCGTAATGACGCAGCAGGATGAAGCCTGCGTGCGTAAAGCGCCGCGGCTGCAGAAGGAAATCAACTCTGAGCTTCTTGATGGAAGCCAGAAACTCTGCGGGTTCAGCTGATCTGAGGAGAAGGTTCTAGTTTATCAAGGTCTATGTGGACCGCTGCACTGATTCATTTCCGCCTTAGAAGTTCGATCCGACAAACAGCAGCAGGTTTTATTCCTTCATTCCTGGAGGGAAATATCTGATTAAACTCCCCATTAAGCAGAGATTATGGTTTGATCCGGAAATAAACCCCACCAGGCTCTCCGGTTGGTTCCTTCCTGGAAGTTTGCGCAACAAGGAATATTTGGTGAGAACTTTATGGATACTTTCCCACTGGATAAATAATCCAGAATAATCCGGAATTATCCTCTTTCCTGACAAAGAATCAATGAAGCGGATCAGAACCAGAGGAAAGTTCTGGTTCCGAAAGTTCTGAGTGAGCAGCTCAGATTCTTCCGTTTCCTGAACTCATAGGCCCTCCTCCTCCTCCTTCTCCTTCTCCTCCTCCTCCGGATATCGTCCCCCCCGCAGCTGTCGGTCCTCCTCCTCCTTCTGGACCGGACCGGACCGGACCGGACCGCAGGGGGACCCGGTCGGAACCGCTGGCGGCGATGCGGCAGTGGAAGAAGCTGCTGCTGGCCTCCGTCCTGCTGCTCTCCGCGCTCCTCCTGCTGGGTTCGGTCAGACAGCCCGCCGAACCGCACCTCCTCCCCGCAGAGGAGTACCGCCTGATCTCCCCGCTCACCTACCGGTACCTGCTGAGCCCCCCCGGGCCGTGCCGGGACAGCAGCCCCTTCCTGGTGCTCCTGGTTCCGGTGGCGCCTCAGCAGGCGGCGGCCCGGCGGGCCGTGAGGGGGACGTGGGGGGCCCCCAGGGTGGGCACCCTGACCCTGTTCTTCTCGGGGATCCCAGCGGAGGGGCTGCAGTCTCCCCAGCAGAGGGCGCTGGAGGAGGAGAGCGCGCAGCATGCAGACATCATCCAGATGGACTTCATGGACAGCTACCAGAACCTGACCATCAAGACCCTGATGATGATGGGCTGGCTGGGGGCCCACTGCCCCGGGGCCCCCTACGCCATGAAGGTGGACTCTGACATCTTCCTCAACATCTTCCACCTCCTCCGGCGCCTCCGGACCGCCCCCAGAGCGGGCTTCATCACCGGCTCCGTCATCAGCGACGGCCGGCCCCGGAGGGACCCCAGCAGCAAGTGGTTCCTGTCGGAGCGGCTCTTCCCTGAGGAGCGCTTCCCCCCCTACGTGTCCGGAGCCGCCTACGTCTTCTCCTCCGACATGGCGCCCCGCATCTCCTGGGCCTCCAGGTTCGTGCGTCCGATTCCTCTGGAGGACGTCTACGTGGGTCTGTGTCTGCGGCTGCTGGGGGTCCGGCCGGTCTACTCCCTCAGCCTGCCGCTCTTCAGGAACCTCTTCCAGCTGCAGAAGCTGCAGTATGACCGCTGCAGCTTCTCCAGGATCATCATCGTTAACGGCTTCCAGCCGGCAGAGCTGCTGCGGATCTGGCCGGACTTCTCTGCAGGTCAGGCGGCCTGCCTGTAGCTGCAGGGGGGGTTAGCTGGAGGGACACAGTCAGGAGATCCTGAGAGGAACCTTTTCAGGACATCAAAGAAGAAGAATCACAACAACAACTATTATTATTATTATTATTATTATTATTATTATTATTATTATTATTATTATTATTATTATCAGTAAAAGCTGAAAATGTTTGGATCCTTTAGAACTTTGTTCTGGATTCTGTTTGTTTTAAGCTGAGATGAATCAGGAGGTCTGGACCTCAGGGACCTGATGG